GATGACTTCTACGCCACATAAGAGATATAGTCCGGCACTCAGATAATCGCCGTGCATGTAAGTACGGCACTCGCATATGGTGGGAAGAACATCGAGCAGTACTACCGGCGATGATGTTGGCCATAGCTACTATTTACGGCACCATTTGCAGAGGAGGTGTTTCGAGAGCTGTGTTTGCTCGGTAGAGATGGCCAAGGCTGTTATCGTGCCGGAAGACATTGGGGTGGATGAGGTCGGCCTTCCTGCTTTGGGGCTTTGTGTGGTACAATGCTTGTGCAGAGACTGTATCAGGGTCTTGCTGGAGTGAGATAATGAGCTAGCACCGGCCTATTTTAGCTGATACAACAACAGCAGCAGCAGCAGCAGCAGCAGCAGCCACGCACTGGTGATGCAGGGCTCAGATGATTTTGGGAAGTCTCATGATTCAGATTCTGGTGCTCGTTTATCATTCTCATGGTCCAGGATCCTAGCAATCTGGCCTAAATGGTAATTAGCAGATATATCGGCATCGACCACGACGATACTCAATGTGCGAGCCTGTCAACACGCGTCACTTTTCCAGTGTTGCACGCGCAGAGGGCAAATCGCACATTTAGAGTGCAAAGTATTGAGGGGCAAGCGCGCATGATGATCTCACATGTGTTCGGCATCCATGCTCAAGCAATAGAACTGCCAGAAGATGTACATCAAATGGCAACTAGGGTTGGGGATTTGTTTTGCAATATAGACCACATGCTTTGCTGCATGGAGGACATCGTCACGGTTACTGTGGGTAGGAAGCTGCTGCTTGCAATATATTCGCGAACACTCGATGAGATCTCAAGCGCAAGGGCCGCCATTTGCCTGACTTGTGACGTATCTCTCTAGTAATATTTGGAGTCTTGAGCTCCCTTGGGGCGGGCCTAGAAACTTGCATGACGCCTGCCCTGGGTTGCTGCGAAATGCAGGTCGTACATCGGTGTATTTGCGGACCTCTAGAATGCCTTCTCAGCGGCTAGCTGAACACCTTTTGATAGCGCCTCATTTTGACTGGAAACATTCCCTGACATGCTCCAAAAAGTTCACAAGCCCTAGAATCCCTGGAACATCTCGATTTCCATGATCCCAAGCCTTGACATCCTGCTCACTGCTCACCAAACCTTTCACACAGGGATCGGGCCGCGCCAGGAGCTCTGAGCTTGCCCTCAAGAGCTCCCCTGAGTGCTATACTGTACGCTTTCAACCTTAGACGGACGCTAAACCCTGAAACGCCATGATAAACCATCCCCAAACCCCCATTCCGAAAACCTGACCTCAAGCCAAAGCCTCCAAAGCACCATTTCTACCAACAGAAGGCCTAGACCCTGCAGCCAGCCAGGAGTCGGCGCTGAGCCCCAGCAAGGGCGGCCGGACCGAAGCTCGGTCAAAAGGAAAACTGACATTCTGGGCGGCCCTTCTTCCCTCTGAGATAACTCACCTCAGTACTACTTATGTTCAAAATCTCTTTCAACTCTTCTTTCAACGTGGGTGCCCAGTACATCACACACCTTCTGGAAATATTCCAGCAGCTTGGGCCTGGGCCACAGGGGGTTGCTTGGAAGGATGGTCCAGGCTTGGTTTTGCGCAAAGCACAACCGTGACAGACCATGACAACCAGAGCCGCAGAAGGCGGCAGTGCGGCAGTGGTGGCGGTAGCAGCATCCGGGGCCACGGCAGCAGGCGGGCGGCAGCAGCATGCAGCAGCAACAACAGCAAGAACAATGATAGTTAGGAAGAAATAAGAACTGTGATCCAGTCTGCTCTTCTGACCCATTCCGCATCACGACAACAGCTGCAGCAACAACAGCAGTAACAACAACCACCGCAACATCACCCACATCTGTACATTCCTGAGACAACTCCTATGCATGTTGTAAGGGTTTGCAGGGATGCAGGGTGTTGGCAGGGTTGCTTAAAATCATAAGTGCCGTAGACATTTGCAATGATTTGCAGGGTTCCCAGTGAAGGCCTAGGGTTAGTGAGGGTGTGTAGATTTGTTTTAGGTATCTATTATTGTTTTGCATGTGTTTGCGTTTGGCCATGGTTGAAACAGTTATGATAGCGTGTAGGCGTTCATGTGGAATTGCTGATTGTCAGAAGTCTCAAGGATATACTGCATGAGTGCCCCTCGTCAGCCTTCATGGATGTATTAGCGCTTCTGGGGATCAAAAGGGGGATTAAAAGGAATTCGTACGGAATTGGAGTTGAGATAGGCAAGAACAGGCCCGCCCAAGGCAGTGATTCAAGGTCACGACCTTGAACCCAACGCGACGATCAGAAGCCTAACCACATTTGATGAACCTGACCAATGCTGCGACCTTCAAAATGGCAACGTGTTGGCGGTCCCGTGCCGTGACTCTGGAATGTGGAAGCCAAGGCATCGACCCCTGTTGCTCCAAGTGATCCCTGCCCAAAATGCTGTTGTTGCGTTTCTTCCTGGTGGTTTTGAAGCCCAAACTGTTAACCTCTCTGATCCCCCTCTTCTGTTTGCGCTCTTGGCGGCATAGCTGTGCCAAACAAGAAGCAAATAAGGGAGCATTGTTGCTAGGGGCTCCGGGGTGGCTAAAAGCACTACGGGAAGGGAAGGTCCTAGCCTTGTTAAATTTAGTTTCGTACAGAGCCTCAGGATCTTGAAGTGATAGACTCCGGTCTTGCATGTCAAGGCAAGGTCTGTAGAACCAGCAGATTTCAAGTTAACCTCCCGTAAAACCTTGACGTACTTTAGCCCGCCCAAACAAGATGAATTGTTGAGTTTCTGAAGTCCTGCTGGACTACCCCTTCCTGGTCTGATTGAAGCAGCGGGTTGGTGAGAAATCTCTAGTTACCATTGGTGGCCTCAGATTCCAGCTTCCAAAGTCTCAGGATGGTGAAGTAATGGAACATGTCTGCCCACATTTCAGCTTCTACACGGGGTCCACAGTTTCAGACATGGCCCAAATGCCTCTGAAACTATTCCAAAAGCTCTCTGGCCCGAATCTTTGCCCAGACCTAGGAGAAGAAAGCCTCTTGGCTTGCACATTCATGAGTCCAGGCTTGCTCCGCCGGGACATACCGATTGTGCGGCTATGGCGGCTATGGATACGTGGATACTTTCAATCGTGGGTAATTTGTCTTTGCAGACTGGACGTAAGGTCAGCCTTTTTTCCACAGCAGAAGGGTTCCCGTTTCAAAGGTAGGGGTACTGGGGTCCAGGAGGTAACCCAACGCCGTTGCTTTTGTGTCCGCAAGCGCTCGCTAAGCGTCCGCGAAACGTTGGCGAAACGTTCGCGAGTTTCGCAGGAGTGTCGCAAGAGCGTCGCATCGCGATCCCTGCAACTTTCCTCACTTTTGGACCCTCGAGTATCAAAAGTGCCAACAGTCACAGCACGTCGCAGGGATTGGGCCGA